GACGAACAAAAAAGTATTTGACACGTTTTTAGCTAAATGTAACTGATTTCAAGTTATTTAGCAAAATGCGATGAAAAAAATGAAAATAAAAAAAAAACAAAAAGTAATTTTTTTTAAAGAAATAAAAAAACAAATATTTTTGGTTTTGTGAACCTAAACTATAAAACCAAATACACCGTTGGGAAGCATGTTTTCTCCTAATTCATAATCACTAAAACATATGTTAATATCGGAAAGGAAAATTGACTTATAGCGGGAAACCTAGAAGCGTGTCTCAAAATTTTGGCGGCCGTTTTGATTACGTCATCAAGACCGCTAGAAGGCCAGAAAATTTTGTGTCCCGGGCTTTTTAGACTCGTCTACCTATGTACTATCTGAATCCAAAAGGGCTCATTGGTTGCCAGATGTGAAACTTTTTTCAGCCATCTCACCCCACTATTAGGTCATTTATAACCCAAGTAACTCACTTTGAATAAAATTAAAAAAACTTTTTTTTTGCCGATCCTAATAGCCTACCATACCTATTGGTATGGTCGACTAATAAAGGGTATACTATAAATCAGTGTTAAACTAACCATGTTTCTTTTCTTTTTCAAGTGGAACTCCATGTTGCTTGAACATGTGCTTCTTAATGTCATAGCGTCTTTTGCTTTTGAACGAACAATGGTCGCAAAAGAACCTTGCTTCCTTTCCACATTCGTACTTAATATGCTTTACCAGATTATATTTATTCTTAAACGTGCTGTAGCATTTGTGACAAGTTGGTCTCCCACCTAAATCTAAAAATAAATACGAAACATTTTAGATAGAATATAAAAAAGTACATGCACAAAAACAACACCTATCGTATCTACAAAGTTTATAAGTTATCCACTAGATTTAAGTTAACTATGTCAGGCGTCATCTCTTGTTGTTTTTAACCAGTTTTATTTCAAACAATGACAGATCATATTTCAATATTATTGGTTTGACGGAACGATGAACGACAAACGGACGCCGGTGCGTATGAACTCGCCTTTAGATTTTTGAGAGTTGTCAAACTCTTGCCAAATTAAAAGTTATAATCAGGGGCGGGAAAGTGAAATAGCAAAAGCGGTTCCACCGTTTCCACGGAAATCTCAAATAAAATAGTTCCAGCCCTAGCCACTAGGTGGTAGTGCAATTAATTTTTAGGTTAAAAAGTTGCTACTAGTTATTGCCAGATGGCGTTAAATCAGAATTTTTTTGTAGTTTCCATAGTTTCCAACGGCCATTGTCATATTATTGTCAAATTCTCAAAAAATATTGTCGTTGTCATAGCGCCAATCATAATATTATCAAATAAATGATTATCAAAATGTTTTTCAAACTATAATTTGTTATAATATGTGTTTTAATTAGACAATTCCTTTTGTTTGTGGCCCTAAAAATATAATGTAAGTCTTTTATTTTTGCCATCATTTAAGTACCTATTTATATTTACTCCATTTACAAAACTTTGGGCGTATTACGTGGTCTTGTCTTATTATAATAAACGATGTTTAAATATTTGACTTATAAATGAAAACTTTAAATAATAAATAATATTTCACATGTTTGGCTTTAATTTTATTTAATAATCGTATAAATTATAGGTACTGTTAAATCTTATTTTTTACACATCACAACGATACTTGTTATTAGTATTGTTCAATTTGTGTAAAAAATAAGATGCAATAATCAAATTTAATTATTTTAGAGTAAAATTCAATAAATACGCTCATTTAAAAAGCCCGCGCTTCGATCCATTTAAAACAAGCCCTACTCAATAGATGGCGCCACTTCTGTAGGACCATTTTTCAGTATGGCAGAGTCCATTCTTTTTCTAGCTAGGTATATTCTTTGGTTATAATTTTGTGTTTGGACCGTGTTAACTACGTGTGTTTCGTGATTTTTAAAATTAAGTGGAAGTTTTTCTTCAAACTCGAGGGAAAATTAAGTGCTGACCCAGACCATAGTTTAGTTAATATTCGGTGCCCAGAAACAGTTTGTCAGAGATTATGGCCAGAGAGTTGTATTAGCTACAAATAAAGTTTGTATACCATCTCGTATATTGGTACCAAAAACTGGAGTATCTGTAAAATAGCAACACAAGATAGATAAATAATACATTTTAGTACTGCAGAGAGATAATGTCAAAAGGTGTCAAAAGGTACTGGTTTACAAAAATTAAAATTAAAGTTAATTAACCAACTTAATAAAATATCATATTATTAATAAAATATTTTATTTTATGTTGTGTTTTATTTATTCCTTTGGAATATATTTTTTTTATTTTTACATAAGTTAACTAACTAAATAAAAAAAAATAAAAATAGATGCAGGAAGTTGCTTGAGCTTGAAACACGGCTTGAAAGCAGGGAATCTTTTCTATATCTTTTTGCTTGTTTTGTATTAACACATACTGTAATTGTTTTTAATAAAATAACTCGATTATATTTTTTACATGTGTTATAATATAGCTAGCAGGTAACTATTAAGCCCGACCAATCACGTTAGAGTTTTTGACAGACACAAATGAATTAACACCCTTCAAGTAACCACGCTAACCAACCTGATTGGTCAAGCTTAATAGTTGACTGCTAGGGCTAGACACTTCTGATTTTTTCAATTTTATACAGTTTTTTTTCACAATATTTTGATGTAATCACTTGTCATTCAAATTTTAAATATATTAATTTTGTGCTATGCGTTCCAAATGTACTAACTTAGGCTGTATTCCGTTGCAAAACCAGACCGGTAAACTACGGTAAAGAGCGGTTCCTGAGAAACATCGGTGTGATACGGAACGGTTTGGTTTTCAATTTCAATACCTCTATTATAAAATTTATCTTTTATGCATTTTAATGTACTTATTCTTAGTTTTTACGTTTGCTTCTTCTTTTCAATGGAGTTTAATATTGAAAAGTACTTTATTAATAAACAGTTAAACTCGTTAGACAGCTCAAGTGAAGATTTGCAGGTCCAATATTAAAACAGATCAATAATAAATAAACAAATCTAATCAATATTTATATTTTATAGCGTACAAAACATTCACGATTACTTGTCTTGTTTTTCATGTTTTCTTTAAATGTTCCTGACTTTAAGAAACAATGGCTGCATGATAAGTTTAAATGGTCCTAAAAAGTCATTCTATTTAGTTAATGAAATTTATTTACCTTTACTGCCTACCTCCATTGCTTTTGGATGTAAATACAAAATATTATTACAAATTTTAGAAATTAAATGAGAATTTCACTCGAACTTCCAATATTTGCTTGATTTCTGTCACATAAATGACATTGATTGACAAACAAAACCAGAAAAACCAACCTTGTCACGCTGGTTAGTTTGTTGACAGTTATAACCGAATTTTTCAGGAACCGTGTTCCGTAATAAGAAAACTTTCAGGAAACCGATAGAAACGGAACATAAAACCATAACCAAGGTAAGCAACGGAGTACACCCTTATTTCTTTCTGTATTGTATTTTGGTTGCATATATTATATGATATTGAATGAACTAAACCTTGTTTGCAGCAATTTTAGTATGTTTTGAAATTAAGCTTTGCTCTTATATGGATTTTACTTTCATGTTTAATGTAATATAAAACTATATTTCATTTTATTTATTATTATTGTTTAAATAACTGAATTTTAGGAAAAAAATTATTATGTGCCTACAAATCAAGTCGAATTTTAACTCAAATGATTGGGCTACAGGTAATAATAATAATAATGTTTATTCAGCAACTCTTTCACAAAATTTATAATACATATACATAATATATACAATCACATAGTAAATAACCATGAGAAGTCATCTGAAAAACAAAAGTTTCCGTTTAAGCTAGATTAGGTAGGTATCCTATATAATATATATATATATATGTATATATATATATATATATATATATATATATACTATATATATATATATATATATATATATATATATATATATATATATATATATAGATAAAAATCTTGTCCCTAATTCGTGGTACGAAAATTGTTTTATATGACGATGTGCACACGAGTAAAATTTCCTGTGCGCAAAAATAAACTAGCGTAAAAAAACAATAAACAGCGTAATAGAGAGATATCGCTAAACCGAATAGCGTACATGGACGTTAATAAGGCCAGCTGTTATTTCCTTTACGTGAGGTGGTATTAACTCTCTTCATTTATAGTTATCGGATCGGAAAGAATTCTGTTCGCGTCGCGTCCGCTATTTAAACTTAACCTAACTTTGAATTTAAAACTTTGAAATTGTTTTGTTTACTAGGTATTTTAAAACTAAAGGGCTAAAGTGCTTATTTCCTTTGCTTTATTGTTCAACGTCTGCCAGTGGGTTTAGGGCAACAAATTCTCTTAGAAGGGCTAAGTCGTCATCTGCTGTAAACCTAAGCCTCTTTAATATTGGAAGAGGTGGAATCCATATTTTGGGTCATATTTATTTAATTAAAACTAATCCCAGCTACTTAAATATCAAATTACCTAATAAAACTAAAGTAATAATTCAAAACAATTCAAACATAACCTATAATAAAAGACCTGGCCGCGCGCCGGGCGGTCCCGGTTGTCAAATACCCGCACATGCCCATTTAAGCAATTTTTAAACGTTATTTAGAAATAGCGCTTGGTCTAATTGATCCGCAAATTACGTCAGGCGGTAACGTTATTAGCGGGTGTAGCGTTAAAAATTGACTCGCGCATATTGTAACCATGATAACGTACGCGTAAATACTGCATGACGCTATTGGGTTTGCGATATATCTCTAATAACTGTGCCGGTCAGGCACTGTGCACAATTTTAGAGGCCATAAGTGGGCGTGCTATGTGCGCAAACTAGTAACCTAACTAGTACCCGATTCCGAAAATTGGAACCACGAGAAACACCAAAGAAAAAACAAAGTTTATAATCTGTGGTATAAGTAACAGAAAAATAAATATTAATATGATAAAATACAAAGAGTATTCTATAAATCAGTGTTATACTTAAGCATCCTTTTTCTTTTTCAATACACTAGCAGCATGTTTGTTGTATATGTGCATTTTAAGATCGTAATGTCTTTTGCTTTTGAGCGGACAGTAGTTGCAAAAGTACGTGGCTTCTTTTCCACATTGGTATTTGACGTGCTTTCTCAGAGTCATTTTATTCTTCAAAGATTTGTGACATTTGTGACAGGTTAGTCTATCACCTAAAAACAAATACGAAACATTTTAGATGCAATATAAACAACTACATGTTATTTTAACTCTTTACTTTGCAAGATTTTTTTGTGGTGATTATTAATTCGTGATTGACACTGTTCATAATGGCTAGGATAAGTATTAAAAATAGTATATTATTCAACGAGCATATAATGGTGGCTGTTATTCACGCGGATGAAGTTTATGACATAAATCATCCAAGTGAATAACAGCCATTATATGCGAGTAGAATACTATACTTTATCCAGGACTATCAAAAAAAATTAGATAATATTAATATAAGTTTTTATTTTTAAAAAACAACTTTTGAAACCCTCCATAGATGAATGCAAAAAATAACATTGAAAACTTCAAATTTTTAAATCGAATTTTTGAATGCAAAAAGTGACATTTAAAACTTCAAATTTTTAAATCGAATTTTAGAGTAGAAAATGAGGGAATTTTACGTTGTTTCTTCATAATAATGGGGTTTAATAATTTGTTTTTCTACGACTAGCCTAGAAAATGCAGTTTGACACACGGAAAACTCGATCTGAAATTGGCGTTTTGCAAACTGTTGTGTGCTAATTTAGCGCACGACATGTGCCAATTTTAACATTTTTAACCTCCAATGTTTAGCTGAAACGCCAAACGCAACGCAGCCGTCAGAGAAGTGCCATCATTACATCGCAAATTATTTCACAAAACTGGCAAAAACCGAGTGAGTTTGCTGCTAATTTGTAGTCGTAGAAAAAATAGTGTAAAAAACTCGTTCGAAAACTTCTTTGTACACTCGTTCGACTTGTGTGAGAATGTCAGCAACCTGTCGAACTCGTGTGCAAAACTCGTTGTTTAATATACTATTACATAGGGAGATATAATATAAAGAATGTTTAAGGAGCAAAAAAAATATTTTAAAAATCTCATGACAAGAAAAAAAAACTTCTAATAGCTCTTGTTCGGAGGAGTTTGGATCGAGATATCCGTGGAAGCGGTGAATAATGAAACCCATTATTCACTAGTGAATAATGAATATTATTATTATTTCATAAACTCATGTATAATAATCAAATTATAGACGAGTCGTGGATAAAATATTTTATTCATATTTTTCAAAAAACTGCACGTACAGGGTGGGTTATACTATAAATGTGTAAAACTTGGAAAATAAGTTTGTTATAATAATGCTTTTATTTATTTACTATTCTAATAAAGAATATACATTCCTTCGGAAACTCTCTATTTATTTATCTAGTAATGCTAGAACACTCTATTTCAGTCAGGTCAGTAGTAGACGGGCCGGCCGGCTGTTGTGTTGTGTTTTGTTTTGTCATAGAGCTGACATTTGGGGGTTGAGAGTCTTTTGACTATAAACGTTGCATGTACTGTAAGGCAACGGGTCGTTTGACCATGAGAAGAAAACCTCTTGTGGCGTCTTGCCTTCGAGGTTGATCTTGAGAGTTTGAGGTCTCCCTTGTCTTCTCGATTGACACGATGCGGCATTGGAGTAGTGAGGTACCCCAATTAGCCTATTCGATTGGGATGCGAATCTGTTTAGCGGCATATTTGCGTCCGGGGGAAGCCCCTATACTATTTCAGGTGACACTAGCTAGTTGTTGAAGATTATTAACCAATAAATCCGAATAATATTTGAATTAGATGGAAGATATAGAATGAGATATATTGAATAGAATGTCAGTGATGTCAGTGGCTAGGGGGCGGAGTACCCCCGGGTGAGTTTTACTATTTAACTATCAATTTTATCCAGATCAGTAAATTTGTGTTTTGTTATTTTCATGTACAATGAGAGAGTGCTTGCCAAAGACCAACTAAATGGATATTTGAAGTGAATTTGCATTGTGAGACCCGGTTGAGTAAGCCCCAAAAATAGCGATTTTACAAATGAGTGTTCCATTAACCATTTTTCTTTTCTTTTTTGAATGGAACTCCATGTTGCTTGAACATATGCATTTTAATGTCATAGCGTCTTTTGCTTTTGGTCGAACAATGGTCGCAAAAGAACCTTGCTTCTTTTCCACATTCGTACTTAATATGCTTTGCCAGATTACATTCATTCTTAAACGAGCTGTTGCATTTATGACAAGTTAGTCTCTCACCTAACCCTAAAAATAAATACGAAACATTTTAGATAGAATATAAAAAAGTACAGGGTGGGTAAAATTGGACGCTTTTAAAAGGAAACACCCTTTTCTATAGGAGATAAGCGAAAAGTAATATCGGTGACTGAGGCTCAATTTTTATCAAAAACATGATGGTGAAAACTGCATATCGATATCTGTTACCGTTTCGGATTTACGGGGTGTTTTTCAAAAATGTGTATTTTTAGCAAATCGCTGTAACTTTTTTTGCAATGAAAAATTTTGTATTTTTGTGAAAACATTTCCAAAGCACCTTTTTACTTAGAATTTAATAATTTAAGTATATTTTTTTTAAATTAATAATTTAAGAATAATCAACAGAAATTTTGATTTTTTATATGGGACACCCTGTATATATTTAATTCGTTGAAAATAATTTAAAATTACCTTTCCAAAAATATAGCATACTTGATATTTTGCTCGATTCCTCTTCGACATATAAAGCTTTTAAAAAATTGCCCACTTTGAATAAGTAGGCTTTGAACGGCGCAACTGTAATGCAAAAAAATTCTAGCTGTGAGCAGCAATTAAAACGAAAATAATATTTGCAATGAGAGATGCAGAATTTTATAACAATTTAAACTATATTTAACAACATCAACACATTTAAACTATATCTAATAGTAATAAAAATTAATAGCAAACCAAGACATAAGATTTTGCTACAGGTATTAGGTTAGGTTAGGAGATTTAGAACATTTCTTGTTCCGCTTCCGCAAAGAGAAAAATCTACTAACAAGCACTAAGTCCGGCGGCTTCTCGGTCAACGGCTGGGATCTTGGTTTGGTTTGGTAGCTATTCAATTATTCTCGAAATTGGCAGCAAAAATTTGCTGATAACTTCAGCGTTCTGAATAAGGGGTCCAGTCCAAAGCCTACTAGTTAAAAGTTACGAACTTAAAAAAAATGCTGTATTTCGAAGGGGAGTATAATAAAATATCAAATGTACTATATTTTTGGAAAGGCAATTTTAAGTTTTTCTCACTTAATTAAAAATATACAGGGTGTCCCAAATAAAAAAAATAATTTTCCTGTTGATATCTCTTAAATTATTAATTTTTAAAAAATTATACTTAAACCATTAAATTCTACGTAAAAAGGTGCTTTGGAAATGTTTTCACAAAATACAAAATTTTGCATAGCAAAAAAGTTACAGCGATTTGTTAAAAATGCACATTTTTGGAAAACACCCCGTAACTCATAAACGGTAACAGATATCGATGTGCGGTTTTTATCATGCTTTTGATAAAAGTTGACCTACAAACACCAAAATATTAGTTTTCGTCTATCCCCGTAGAAAAGGGTATTTCCCTTTAAAAGCGTCGAATTTGACCCACCCTGTACACTATAAGCTACAGTGCCGAGTTGACAGACGGATTTTTTAAATAAAAAAAAGTGCTCGTTTATGATACCGATTTCTGAGGTAAAAAAAATATTGTTTCCAATCTGTTAGTAGGATCCGAGGGGTGTCCCACTCGGGTAAAAAATGTACAGGGTGGGTCAAATTCGACGCTTTTAAATGGAAACACCCTTTTCTATAGGAGATAGACGAAAACTAATATCGGTGTCTGGAGCTCAATTTTTGTCAAAAACATGATGGTGAAAACCACATATCGATATCTGTTACCGTTTCGAAGTTACGGGGTGTTTTTCAAAAATGTGCATTTTAACAAATCGCTGTAACTTTTTTGCTATGGAAAATTTTGTATTTCTATGAAACATTTCCAAAGCATCTTTTTACGTAGAATTTAATGGTTTAAGTATAATTTTTTAAAATTAATAATTTAAGACTATCAACAGAAAAATTGATTTTTTTATTTGGGACACCCTCTATATTTTTCATTAACTGAAAAGAATTTAAAATTACCTTTCCAAAAATATAGCACACTTGATATTTTGTTATAATCCCCTTCGAAATACAGAATTATTAAAAGTTCGCTACTTTTAACTAGTAGGCTTTGGACCCCTTATTGATGATAAGGAACTGATAGAAGATATGGAACTCGAAAATATATTTTTCCAGCAAGACGACGCACCGCCTCTGAACGTTGAAGTTGTCAGCAAATTTTTGCAGCCAATTTCAAGAATAATTCAATAGCTAACCAAAATCCCAGCCGTTGGCCGTCGAGGCCGCCTAACTTAGTGCTCATGGATCTAATCCTATGGATATATTTGCGGAAGAATAAAGGTTCCTTATTCTTCCGTATAATCGAGACAAGAATTAGAAATACTTAATAGTTATGAGAGGGTCTCTTTTACCCCTACTGAGTTAATGAGTTCCGCGAGAAATTTTCAGAAACTGCCCCGTCTGTCCATAACAGAAGGCGGCCGATATGTCAATCACCTGTAGCAAAATCTCATGCCTTGGTTTGCTATTTATTTTTATTGTTATTAGATATAGTTTAAATGTGTTGATGTTGGTTAAATATATTTTAAATTGTTATAAAGATCTCTCATAGCAAATATTATTTTCGTTTTAATTGATGCTCACAGCTAAACTTTTTTTGCATTACAGCCGGTTTTCCGTTCAAAGCCTACTTATTTAAAGCGGGCGAATTTTTATAACTCTATATCTCGAAGAGAAATCGAGCAAAATATCAAGTGCGGTATATTTTTGGAAAGGTAATTTTAAATTCTTTTCAATAAA